GTTCACTTTGGACCGGCTGCCAGTACCTGAAGGGGCCTACAGGAAGAATGGAGAGGGACTTTTCACAAGGGTGTGGAGTGACAGGACAAGGGGGAATGCCTCTAAACTAAAAGAGGGCAGATTTAGATTAGATATTAGGAAGAAATTCTTCCCCATGAGGGTGGTGGAACACTGGCCCAGGTTGCCCAGAGAAGCTGTGGCTGCCCCCTCCCTGGAAGTGTTCCAGGCCAGCTGGATGGAGCTCTGAGCAACCTGGTCTGGTGGAAGATGTCCCTGCTTGTAGCAGGGGGGTTGGAACCAGATGATCTTTAAGGTCCCTTCCAACCTAAGTGAGCCAAGTCTTGAGGGGACCACCCGACCCCAAATTCCCAGCCTGGTCTCTATCATCTGGTCCACACACTTGCATGGAGAAGACACCACCATTTTAGGGTATGAAGGTGCAACTGAAGCCGATCCCTATGGCCAGGCTCCCCTGAAAGGTTTCGGGGGGGTTGCATCCCTTACTGGGGAGGGACACTGTAAGGACACTGTATTTGCCCTCTTGCTTCTGGTTTGGGGATTATTTTTTGGCGAGGTGGTGATGGGTGCCCTGTTCATCTTTCCTAACCTGGTTTCTCCTGGCAGATGCCAATGTCACAGAGGAGACGCAGGTCCGTTTGGTTGACGGCCCGAACCGCTGCGCCGGGAGAGTGGAGGTGCTTCACCAGCAGCGGTGGGGGACCATCTGTGATGATGGCTGGGATTTGAGGGATGCCAAGGTGGTCTGCCGGCAGCTGGGCTGTGGGACAGCCGTGGCGGCCCCTGGACATTCTCACTTCGGGCAAGGCTTGGATCCCACATTGCTGGATGACGTGGAGGGCACTGGGCTGCCCACCATCTCCCAGTGCAGCCTTAGTGGCTGGGAAGTCCATAACTGCAACCATGAGGAAGACGCGGGAGTCGTGTGCTCAGGTGGTCCCTGGGGGGAACGCTCCAATGTCCCAAAAAAAGGGTTTTATCCAGGACTGGGAGGTGGGCACCGCTGGTGGGACATCAGTGATGGGAATGACCTTGCAAGGGAGCTGGGGAGGGGGCAAGGGTGCAGGAGGTGCAGGTGGCACATGGCATGCACGCCCATCCTTGCACACGTGGGCGCCTTCCATGCCCCTCTCCGTCTGCTCGCGGGGTCGGAGGGGCCGTCTCACCCCCTTTGCTCTCCCTCACAGGCACAAACCCCTTGCAGCTACGGTTGCAGGACGGCTCCAGTCCCTGCGCAGGGATGGTTGAGGTGCTCTACAACGCTACCTGGTACGGGGTTTGCAGCAGCGGCTGGGGCTGGCCGAGGTGGTCGCCGGGCGGCTGGGCTGCGGGCCAGCCCTGTCCGTTGGAGCCCACCTCAGCCATGGGAACGGCCGTGCCTTGCTGGAGGGGCTGAGCTGCCGGGGGGCCGAGTCGGTGCTCCTGGAGTGCCAGCAGAGAGAGATGGGTCCGGGGCCGTGCAGGCAGGGCTCGGCAGCCAGCGTGGTGTGCACAAAGCCCAAGGGTGAGCACCGGAATCCTCCATGGTGTCCGCACCAGGTGGGGGGAAAATGTCCCAAGGCAAGAAGAAAGGGGAAAAGGTGTTGCACGCTCATCTCAGCAAGCTCTTGAGGGCCTTTCCTGGGGGATGCTCCTCATTTCCCATCACCCTTGGGAGCATCAGAGAGGCTTTCCCCACTCAGTCTCCTTCTCTGGAGATATTCAAGACCTGCCTGGACAAGGTCCTGTGCAGCCTGCTGTAGGTGATCCTGCTTCGGCAGGGGGGTTGGACTACATGACCCATAGAGGTCCCTTCTAACCCCGAACATTCTGTGATTTCTTGGAGCCCAAATTTCCTTATCCCCCTCCCCCCTTAAACCTTCCGGGCTCCCTCCAAGACCAGTCCCCATTTCTCAGATAGGCTGCAAAGCTGAGACGACTTTTGAAGGATGGAGGAGGGTCAGAAATAAGCCTATATGTGAGATGTAGCACCCCAAATCTGAAGTAGAACACCAGACCAGAGAGCTGACGGAAGTTGTAAGAGAAGCCGGAACGTGGAAG